TGACGTTAAAATGTAGGCTGATCAAATATCGAAGCACGGCCGCGTGCGGCTACTCTCGCGCTCTCCCGTTGCATGCATGGAGGGAGCTTTTTTTTCATTTACGAGTGGGTGAACGCGACGATTCAGTCACACGGCACTATTTTTTTTTTTTTTTTTTCTCAAATAGTCACAGGATCAATGAGATCTCGAGGGCTTGGAGTTTTTTTTTGTGTTTTACGAGGGTCCCGCCTTATCGTGGCTCTCGTTACAGTGTCGCTTTTCTTTACTGCGCTGTTTCATATTAGTGACTCCAATAAAAAGTCGTCGTTTCTCGATTCGAGAGTACTAGTTGTATAAGCTTTAGGTGCAATCAAGTTTTTCTTTGTTTATTCATGTCTTTCATGTGCATGTGAATTCGCAAGTAAGTGTATAGTTTCATTGATAAAGTTATCAAAGTTTATGACCACCTTTCAGATTACTTGTGCCAGGAAAAGTTGGATAAGCATTTTCACGTTAAAGTTCCACTTGGAGCCTCTATTTTTTTTAGCAATAGCTTTCATTATCAGAACACCTATAAGTAATTTGACTTTAGACAAACCATGGCATTAAAACATTTTTAAATATGTTTAGTGTGGTGGAAATATTTTTAAAATACGTAAAAAATAAAAAATTGTGAAAATTACCTGAATCGTCATTCGATGCGAAACGTTTCCTCGAACATTTGAGCTTATCTTCACGATACCGAGAACCTACTCGTTTCATGCAAATTACCGTGCATGATAGACCCAAAGGAATCCCATCACCGAGAGCACCAATCCATACCAAATACCTTAGCCAGCAAAGTCTGATTTTTTTTCATAAAAAAAAAAACAAAAAAAAAAAAATGAAAAATATTTAGAGTATTCCAAAAATTGCCGAAACCATGATTTTCTTTTCTTTATCAACTAGTTTCACGCACCAACACACCTGATAGTTTTATACTCTTGGGAAAAACACTATATTTTTCCACCTGCATCTCGTCATCGACTCGAAAACAAAATTCAATTTTTACACTTCAATTTGTCATTGGAAACAAATTTTCATTGTCCCCCCACTGGCAGTCACCGTGTACTCGTCATCAACTTAAAAAATCCCGCATTTCTCTCGGAAATCTTCGAAGCATCCAAAACGAGAAATCTCAACCAATTGCCGAACCAACCGTAATGAAAAAAAAAAAACCCCCGCAACATGGGTAGCGAGTAATGGTCAGCCGCCAAGTTGTGCGTGTCGCGATACCGGGCCACTCGCGTACCACCACCTGCAACGTCGGCAATAGCACTAGCAGAGTTAAACTCGGCTCGCCACCCCATCTCATAGCCGGTGGTGGTCGATGTCCGACATTTTTCCGAGGCTCGAGCGCCAGCCGCACGACCGGCATACTACCACCACTATACCTGTTCCACCGCTGGCACACAATCACAGGCAGACATAGTCCTCACCTTCTCTCGCCCGCACGCGAGCCACTGGCCGTTTACCATTCTGAGTTGGCCCTTCTCCACCCCTCCCCCACACCCCATCTGAATCACGTGGCGCACAACCATAGTGCTCGCGGTGTATCACGCGCAAGATTGGAAACGTATGCCTACACTGTATAAGTAAAAAAAAAAGGGCCCTGTAGTGCGGACAATGCTGCGTAGCTGCTGGAAAAACGCGCGAGGGAGGTATCGTTGATGGAAAATCATTTACAATAGGAATTTGAACGCGGGCGTTGGATGATACGGGTCTGGGGTAAACGAATGTAGGCCACTTCGATGTGACAGACTTTCGCTTCGATTGTTTCGATGCCGAGCAGGATGTGTTGTATGATTTTATATCCCTTTACTGGCTGGTGTTGATTTCGTAGAGTCGGAGCCGAGGAGATTTCGATGCTTGGTGAGCGCCGGGGTCGATCATTTCATTTGGGGGAGCTTTGCGACTTGTTTCCCTCATTATAGGATCGTTTGCTATGGTTTCATACGTCCATGGTGTCAAGAATTGACTCGTACCTCAATTTCCTCGGGGTGATCATAGGATTTTCAATCCCTCGAGTGAGTAATAATTTTTAAGTCACGCTGAAACCACACTCTTTTTCTTTACCCATTCTTGGTCTGCTGCAAATATCGATTAACGAAGAGAATTCTCCGTTTTTTCGTGATCATGGTTATTAAATCTCGTTGTTTCAGAGCCACCGGGATTTTTGCAAATTCATCGCTGCTGCCGGTGCTCGAGGACTGAGCGTGTGTGCACACGAGGAGCGCATCGGGCGAGCAAAAAGGAAGTGTCGGAGCCGCGCGAGGGAAAGCGCCGGCCTTGGAGTCGAGACTCTAAGAATAATTTGAGAAATTAGTTTGCTCGCGCCAAAGGTGAAACTCCAATGAGGGTGGGTATAGATGTATACATACACCGGCCCCTGACAACTTTATGTGATATGTGCCAGGGGAGTCGCGTGATTTGTGTACCTTTTCGAGGAATCGTTCATCTTCGAGCTTCGCTATTGTTCAAAATTATTGCCGCTGCTACCTTTTTTTTTTCTTTATCACTCTCCTGTTGTGGATGGAGCGCGAGACACTTACGATATTGTACGTTGGAGTAAAAAGCATTTCATAATGTTGGCTTTCGATGGAGATCTTATCCTTCGAGGCTAAATTGTTGCATGTAACCTAATTTTTCTTTTTTTTTCATTTCATTCTCTCGCGATACCCATCTCACAAAAGCAAAGTTATTACTCCGGAAGTTTTATTTCAGCGAAATTCCACCAACACTGTACTCGTCTATCAAACATTAATGCCACTAGAGGTGGGCCCAATTCAATACGGATCAATAAAATGAGATATAAAAATTTATCCCTGTATACTATTATCATTGGAATTACCAAAAATAATTTTAACGAAACAGTCGAGAGTGTCTTCCACAACTCGTCAAGTGCATGAAAACACCAGCAGCGGAGGATCAAACAAGCGCTTTTTTCACAACTACCTGTACAAACTCCCCCTCGGCTCGAGCGCGAGTCATGTACGTACACACGGGCCGAGTCCGCCCAAGGGCTAAGTGAAGGAGGGAGAGAGTCCAAGCGAGGTCGAAGAAGAAGGAAGTCGAGCTGACCGCGTCTACCCACCCACACACGTACAGAGGGTTCTACGGTTCCCTTGAATTAGCATAAGCCTGCACGCGAGCCGTTAGCGGAGCGCTGGAAAGGCGATAAGGGCCACCCCCTTTTCCGATGGGGACTCGACTACACTTGCTCCCGCCACCTTCTTTATCCCCAGTTATTGCTCTTTTAAAAAAGACGCCTGTGCGTCGACCGTATCACAATGGTATAGCCCTCCAACGCGTGGGTACGCAGATCTACTATCGGACCTGACGATCTATTCGAGGTCTGCGTTTTTATTTCTCCCCACGCATCGACTGTAGATCAAAGGGTCACTCCTTGCGACCCCCTCTTTGGAAGTTCTATCGAGCGTAATTTTTTCTTGCCCGGCGAACTCGTCCCATAGCTGTGGAATGGCTTGTCAATTTTATTTTTTTTTTTATCGACAACCCTCTGAGTTTAAATCTTGGGTACATCATTTGTTGCGCATAAATTTTATGGTGGTGGTATTTGAGGGGATTCAATTATTTTGGATGAGTAAAAATACCCTTGCCAGTGTGATTTATCTCAGTTGAATCAGTATTATTCGAGTGTTTTTGGCAAAAGGATCATGATCAGAGATATACTAAATTGAAACTTAATCCAAGATCATCATGAGCGAATGCTTCACAATTTTCGGGTCTGACGAGAAAAATCACGATTGTTTTATTTTCGGATTAATAGCAAAAATATTAGCTTCAAATTTTAACAAATAGTACATTTTAATCTTAATTTTAGCTTTTGTTAAATTATCTCAATCACAAATTATTGTTAAAAAAGACACGTTTCATCGATACATAGTTTTCTGCAAGAGGAATCGAAGATATTACCTTCTATTAAAAAGGAAAAAACGAATAGACTTGTGTGTATACATTTGTAATAAAAAAGCAATAAATAACATTGTAAGTTTATTAAATTGTAAAAAAATAACATGTAAAAGTTCGTTGGTCTTTTATTTTACTAACACATATTCATCACATATACGACGGACAATATAAATATATACAGGGATTTCAAAAGTCACTTCACCATTCGCGACGTTACATGAAATCGTAAAATTTTTTTTTTTTTTTTCAATCTTATCGAAAAACACACAGTACATACACGTATAAATAAAATATCGCTCACTCAATCCTCGTTATAAAAGCTACGGAGATCCTAAGTAGTGAAAAAAGTCATTACTTTATATCACACATTTGTCACCGAATAACTAAATATCCGGCTCTAAAAGTATGTACAAAAATTCGCTTGAATCTTTTTCAACTTGTCGACACGTATTTTTTTCCGACGCGTACGCCGTCTCTTCTCGTAATGTCAGAGTTCCGTCGTCTCGACGGTCCTTATCAGCCCATTGTTCGGCACGTGGTCCTGGTCAACTGGCGATGGGTTTTCACGAGTAGAAGCATCGCCATTGTTGTTTGACTCATCGATTACTGCATCTATCGTTATCGACTCGACACTACATGAAAAAAAAAAAAAAAAATCAGTGAATGATTTTGTCACCCACACACTTCTCATAAAAAATTAAGATAAATGTCATGCTACCTATATATGGACGGAACCCTTCCTTTGGAATTCTGATGGCTCGTATTTGTCGGGTAATAGCCTTCGGCTTCGTCGACAGTCTCATCTACAGCGTTTTCATCCAAAGAATTGTGCTGACTGTGCCCAAGAATAAAATACCAAAAATTTATTACCATAAATTATTGTTTAAGCACATGTCTGAGGTATGTGAGTATTACTCTAAAGTTACCAATGTTATTCGCTTTCCTTACATTTCTAAGGACACATGGCCCAAATAAATATCTACCTCAACGGTTTATCTCAGAAAAAAAAAACATAAAATTGTACGTGAGTGTAGGTTCTTATACACAGTTTACCTGGCGACACCTTCCGTTTTGAACCACTCGTTTTCGTAGACGTGCATCCAGATTGGATTCGAGCCCTCGGCGCAGTGCTTGTTCGTATTTGGAACTTGTCCGGGTCCCCTTGGAAAATCTGGATCTGAAACGACAAGCCATGTCAATAACACTCCTTATCACTGTCAAACACGTTTCACACATAAATTGAAAAAAAAAAAAAAAAGAAGTACCAAACGGATTGGCATTCGCGGCTTTCAACTGCCTCTCGTACGACGACTTTTGCCACATGCACAAGAAAATACAGATAGCTAGCATGATTGTAAGGAAGACCGTCAGTATGGATAGCCAAATGGTAGTGCTAGCTTGTTGGGATTGTGTCAGTGACTGCGGTTCGGCTGGCTGCGTGTCCAGCACGTTGAAGTCCTTGAAAAGACCATCGAGTTCCTCGATGTTGCGGTCCACCAGCTGCAAGATTTCGGACACTTCGAGAATCGAATTGTCCTGACGTCTCACAAAGTGCAGGTAAAGATCGGTGCGCGTGCGATCGACCGTGCCGTCTTGATTTGCGTGCACCTTGCACTCGTCGACGTTGACTATCGAATTTGTTACGTTGCCTAGAACTCTGTTTTACGAATAAGTTATATAGTCAAGCAATTGTCAGAGTTTTTTTTGCCTTTTTCGCTACGTGGTATACTTACTCTCGGAAGTGCTCAATTCTACTACGAATTTCGGAAGGGTGCTGCCTCAAAACGAACCTGACTCGCTGATCTTCCCGCAACAAATAGATAAAGACCTTCGCCGTGTCGTTCAGTCCGTGGGTGTCGTTTGCTAGAACCTAAACGAAGCCAATGAAAATCATCGGGTTTAAATCGTATTTTTAGAAGCCAATAAATACAAAAAATGTTCTAACCGTGAAATCAAAGTATCCTTTCATTCCGCGTTGAGGATCGAAATTTAACTTTATTGCGCCAGTGTTCTCGTCGACTAAAAATGGCTGTAGATGGAAATTATCGAAGCCTTCCGACAGAGTCATTAGTATTTTACCAATCAGGTAATATTTAACGATCGCATTTTCACCGCTATCCGAATCTTTTGCCTGTAATAACAATCAACGCTTTCTTCTGACTCAATTTTTTTTTTTTTTTATGTATTGATGTCAATTGTTTGAACGATCAATCACCTGAACATGCATGAATTCGGTTCCAAAGTCTGCATCTGTCGTTACACCTCCGGTAAAAACTCGTCTGACAAAGTGAGGTGCTTCGTCGTTAACATCAGTCACGGTAACAACGACTTTCAACAGCGTAGGGTCTTTTTCATAAAAATCTTGTTTTACGGGCTGAATCATGTTGCAGTTATCAGTTGCTTTTACAACTATCTCGTAAGATTCTCTTGCTTCCCTATCCAGTTCTCTGGTAACCTAGGAATTAAATGTCCTATGTTATTGACAATTTTTATGGTCTAGCCCTAGCGAAAACTACAGTTTTACACCACAAACGTAGATAATATCTTGATTGCGTAATGTAAACGTTTACCGTGAGCGTGTTGTTGTATTTGTCAAGCTCAAATAGTTGCTCATCGTTGCCTCCGACTATGTAATAACAAATTTTGGTCAAATCGAGCTCGTCGACCTCATCCTTGTCTATCGCGTCCGGCAGGACTACTATCTCGTCAATTTTACCCTCTGTAAAGCTTGTGTTATAAATATTTGTTTCGAATTCAGGTTCAAAGTCATCTTCATCTTGCACATGAATAATTATGTCCAGATTGGAACTCAAGTTCACCGGTTCGCCCAAATCGCGGGCTATTATTTGAATCTAAACATAGTATTTAGTCATTATTACTGATAATCAAAAGTTGTAATTACTATTTGTACAAATTATCGTATGTATCTTGCCTCGTATGATTTTTGAGTTTCCCTATCTAATATCTGTTTCAAATAAATCCTCCCACTTTTTTCATCAATCGCAAACGACTTGTAGTGTCCAGCTATATCTTGTTTCAGTTCGTATCGAACGTCGCCATTTTTTCCGAAATCGCTGTCTATCGCCTCGACTTGAACAATTTCCACACCAATTGTTTCGTTCTGAGACAAATTTATATAAAAATCCACGAAACTTTTGCATTATATTTTGGCGAAAAAGAGTTAATCAATTCAAAATAGAATTTACCTCTGACACTTTGATTATATTGTCTTGTGGTCTCGTAAAAATCGGAGCATGATCGTTGATATCGGTAACGCAGACTTTCAGAGTCACTTGAGTTTTGAGTGGTGGCTCACCTAAATCCTGCACTTCAAGTTGCATCTCGTATTTTCCGACCTTATCTCGTAGAGAATCCGACGCTTTCAGTTTGACCGTCCAGAAATCCGGTTGTACAAGTGTAAAGTAGCCTTCAAACAAAATAATTATAGTGACTAAGTATAATTGTAATAATTTTTCTTCCGTTAGTATAAATAGCTGTACGAACCATTCTCGTTCCCACGGACAATTAAAACGTTCGTTTTTCCATTCGGCGTACGATTATCGTCATCATCATGAGCTGTCATGGTAATAATATCATTCTCGATATCGTAGTCCTCCCCAATGGTCACACACTTTTCGGGCACCTTGATCGTTGGTACATTGTCGTTCACGTCCGTAACCTCTACCCTAAATAAAATAAAAATAAAAGCTACATAATCAAACGAATCGATGACTTATTATAGTTTGAAAAAAACGATAGAATAGCTAAAGGGGTGAAACACTGACGTGATTTGCATGGTCTGTTTCCGAGATGTGTCTTCAGCATACGTGGATGGATAGTTATCCCGAGCTTCGATACTAAGCGTATATTTATCCTTGGTTTCCCGGTCCAGTGTACCAATCACTACTATCGAACCATTGTTTGGATTGATCGCAAACTTGTCCTACAATCGATAAATTTATTTTATTCATTGGACTCGAGTATCGTAGAGAATTGGTCGGTTTTTTAATTTTATTTCACCTCTGCAAGCCTTTTATCGAGCACGTAGGTGACTTTTCCATAGTCACCCTCGTCGCGATCTAGAGCTGTAATTACAGCTACTCTGGTGCCAACTTTTGCATTTTCAGGTACAGTAAAATTATCCGTAGTGGTCATGAAATACGGATTGTTGTCATTTTCGTCGATTACTTGAACAAATACTGGCACCAAACTAGACCTTTTTAGATAGAAAGTATAAATTACCATTTTCATTTTACAGTTGATATGACATCAAAGAGAAACAGTTTATTACTTTGGCGGACTTCCAGAATCAGAACCTTTAACAGTAAAATTAAGCCATGAATATTTTTCTCTATCTATGTGTCCTGCCACAGTCATTTCTCCAGTTTTCGAGTCCAGATTGATCAGTGGGAAGACGTCGGGTGAGTCGTTAAATGCGTAAGTGATTTCACGATCTTTATCAGCGTCATATGCTAGTACATTACCAATACGCACGCCATTTTTACTATTCTCGGTAACGTAATATTTATAGAGTGGATGGGAGAATTTTGGATGATTATCGTTAACGTCTTCTACGATTATGTCTAAAGTGGCTGTAAAAATTTGAACGAATTGATGTATAAAACCATTCATAAAGAGACAAAAATCTAATAAATCATTGAATCAAGATAAAAGTACCATATGTGCTCTGACCGCCCGTTTCGCCAGCCAAATCATCGACCGCAATTCCAAGCTTCATCGTATCGAATATTTCTCTATCCAATACCTTGACGATCTGAATGGATCCATTGTCCTTATCAATCTTGAAATGCGCGAGGTAATTGTATTTATCTTTAGGAATCAACGAGCCGTTTTCGCTTCGTGCCTCCGATGAACTTGCAACGATTCTGTAATGCAGATACGACGTCGTGTCCGGATCGTGAGCTATTACATCATTTAATATGTAAGTTCCGATCTAAAATGGCAAGGACGAGTTTTTTTAAAAAGATTTCCAATTATCTATGTCTTCGAAATGAAATGAATGAAATTTGCGTACGAGAGTGTCTTCCTTAATATTAATGACGCCAGGATTTATAAAAACAGGTGGTTTATTGTTCACATCCGAAATTTTCACTAGGACGGTAGTGTTGACTTCGTTTTGTATTTCGATGCCATTGTCCATGGCTATCACTGACAGCTTATATTCCGTCGTGGGAGTGTCTCCCAGATCCAGATTTGCGCCTGGTGCCACTTTGATCCAACCAGTCACGGGATGTATGACAAATTTACCATATCCTTCCACCATTCTGTACGTGATTTTGTTATTGGGCGAGGATAGATCGTCATCTTGAGCTTTTACCTGAAATAAAACCATGGCGGGTGATGTGGACTTGATCGCGTTTTATTGGTAATGAGAGTTTGAAGGGGAAGAGACCTCGAGTGCTCACCTGTAAAATACTCGTGCCTCCGATTTCAGTTTCCTTGACAGTTGTTTTGTAGGGTTGGTCTAGAAACCGGGGCTTTTCATCGTTCAAGTCGTTAAAATAGACCCTGAGCTGAACCACGGATGTTTGATTAGGTGTTCCGCAATCTGTCACTAGGACATACAACAGGATCTGCCTTTGGGAACTCTCTGACCTATCTCTTGGCAAAGCCTCAAAGTCCATTGGTCCAATGGGGAAAACGGTGCCATTCTCTGGATCGATCACAAAATTACGAGAGTATTTTCCGTCTTCGATCGAATAGACTACCCTGCTGTTTTCGCCTTGATCGTCATCTATGGCCTGGACTTTCACCTGCTTCTCGAATGTCCACTCGTTTTCTTTCAACACAGCCTCGTAACTGTTTTGCAAAAATACTGGACGATTGTCGTTAACGTCGACGATGTTGATGATCAGCTGGGCAGTGTTTCTGTTACCCCGACCTAACTCATCGCTAGCCTCGATGGTCAAGTAGTGGCGAGTGAAGCGTTCCCTATCGAAAGCGGGGCCCGGCTTTTTTATAGTTATTAAGCCCGTGTTGGAATTAAGAGATAACCTGTTAAAGAATTGTCAATTTTTTGACAAATATCTTACAATAACACACGAGAATCAACATAAATGGGTATTAAATATATGAGGTAACTGCAACTCACGCGTCAGCGATACTACCGATGAGATTGGTGTATTTGATACCTCTTGTGCCAAAAAAGTTGCTGTCCAAGTCAGTCGCCCGAGCCTCAATAACAATCGCGGTAAACGGAGGGTTTTCAGGTATCGAAACATTGTAAATCGTATACTCGAATTCTGGATAGTTATCGTTTTGGTCCCTTACATGTACTCTTACGGGGACGCTGCTCTGCTTAGGTTCATCAGCAACTGTTTCTCTGGCTACAAGGGTAAAAATTACCTCTGTGAAAAAAGAAAGAAAAATTATACTCTTGATGAATTTTCTTTCATTATTTATGCTGTACGATATTATTAAATACGTACCTTGTCTGATCTCAAAATCGAGTTTCGAGGAGTTTTTTACTTTTATCTGGAATGGAATATCATTTCTGCCCTGCGAAGGACTGACTTCAAAAATACCGTCGTCCCCTTCGATTGTCAATGTAAAGGTACCGTTTTCCCCCTGTTTAAATAAACAACCATTAGTATCGCATACAAAAAAAATTTATTATTTAAAAGGGTAAAAATAATAATTGTGAAAAAAAAATACACGTGCCAAGTCATGATCGAAAACTTCAGCTACGGCATTACCATCGACGAACGTAAGAGGTGTATTGTACGGTGCATTTTCAATGATCTCGAGCTCGTAACTGGAATCGCGAAAAGTCGGTGTCTCGTCGTTCACGTCCTCTACATGAATCGTAACCTCTGCGGAAGTGAAGGGCTCGGGTACCACGGATGATCCTATTTCTTTAGCCGTTATCTCAAGGATCAGGAAGCTATCAATGTTGTAGGGATCCTCGCGGTCCAGTCGACCTATCGTGAATACCGTTCCCGATGTTGAATCGATGTCGAAGAGACGCTTCGGGCTCCGGGTTAAACTGTAAGCTATGGAGTTATTTATTCCCCTGTCGCCATCGATGGCCCGTACTGAAAATAGCACATTTGTTTTTGTACATTGGTCTATTTCTTTTTAATTATAGTACTGACCAGACAATTTTATAAATCGTACCTTGCAAGACCGAAGTGCCAATCGGCGCATCCTCGCTTATTCGCGAAACAGGTATCAAAGATGTGAACACAGGAGGTTGGTCCTCCACATCTTTTACCTGGACGAGTATCACCGTCGTTCCAGTTTTGACATCCAACTGTGGTTGTAGTTTTATATTTTTAATTATAACAATAATAAGAAATAAGAATCAATATTTCCTTATGAAAAAAAAAAAAAAACCAAATGATTCACCTCGTTCGAAGGTTGGTCCTTTGCCAGGACGGTCAGCTGATAGCGAGACTTCCTCTCGTAGTCCAGTCTAGCCTCAAGCCTGATGATGCCTTTCTGATCGACCGAAAAAATGTCGTTATCCCCTTCGCTTTCTTTCAAACTGTAGTTCACTCTTGCGTGACGTCCCTCGTCGAGATCCGTAGCGTGTACGACCATCAGGATACTACCAGGTTTGCTGTCTTCGCGTATTTGAATATTCGTCGGGTGTGGCTTGAAAATTGGCGCATTGTCGTTTATATCAATCACGATTATTGTTAGATGCAGCGCGACGAAGTTGCGCTCGCTCAGCTTGCCGTCCGTTAGTGTCAGGATTAGTTCGTACGTTTTTTTTGTCTGCACAGAAGTTTTAAAACATTTTATTGAAAACGTAGTTTTATCAAAATTTTAAATCAAATTGGATTTTAAAAATTTATTTTTCAAATAGAGTTTTTTTTTTATAATCTCTCAAACTCACAATCGAGATGGGCACAAGTTTGGCTAAATTTGAAAATTTACACGTGGGAAGACTCAGAAACATTGACGGGAAAAAGTTACTATGCACACTTGTGCACATTAAAAAGCCCATCGAACCTTTGTTTGTCGAAGATGCATCCCGTAAAACTCTCCAATGAAGACAGCCTGTTATTACGTGGAACCGACTCGACTCGCAACGTTCGGTAACCAGCGAACCGAGAATTACTCGAAGGGAGTAGGAGAAATAAAGAAGCGAAGAGGAGGTATCGTATAGTAACCATGAAAAATCGCATTGATACATCAAACCTGGCAATCTTTTTTGTGCTAACACGTTCTTTCGAGCCATTGACCTATTATTGACATTTTTTTCTTTTATTCGCGCCAATCTTGGAAATTTTGTTTGTACAATGGAAAGCTTTTATTTTCATGTAAATTTTAGTAGAGCACATTAAAATTTTGTTATTAGTATGACCGGTCATCAGTTCCATGAGAATTATTAAAACTCTATTTTACATGGTAATTTTTAATTTTTTTTTTATTTAAAATTTTTTTCGTGGGGCTTAGCTTTTGAAATATTTTTAAACAAACAAGTGTTAAACGACTCACCTCCCAGTCAAGAGGTTTGTTTAACACAATGTAGGATGAGCTGATAGTTGATCTCTCGATCCTTATCACGTCGCTGTCTGGATGACTACGGACCCCAAACGTCAATTCATCCCCATCAGGATCGAAGCCTTTCAAATGATAGATGTGCATCCCTGTATATTCACAGAATATTAAATGATTAGCAGAGATCTTAAACTTTTTGTTTGTAGTAGAAAAAAAAAAAAATTGTAATCCTAACATAAAATCAATAAGTTCAGCTGTGGCAATAAGTTTTTACTTACCCACAGGCGTTTTTGGACTTTCCGGTAGATTTAACACGAGCTCACTCGAGTTCATGGTATTGATCATGGGAAGAAGAAACCGTGGCCATTGGTTTTCAGCCTTACATTTAGGGACTAGTAAGCCGATGGTTTGCAGGAAAAAAACAAGGATTAGTTCCTTGGAATACCTTTTCCAGCATGATTTGGCGTTCCTGCGTTTTAGTGTTTCCGTGGTCATTTTCTTCGATGATAATGATAATTGTGACGATGCTGCATCACCCAGCGATGCAGAATTTCTCCCTCTTGCATGTATATATTTATACTACATATACCGCTTTACCTTTAGTGCTGAAAAAAAATGAAATAAAAATTATGAAAAACTCTGTTTTTGTACATGAGATACAACTGATCCATTTGTAACTGTACAACAATCTTCTCTTTGACCACGATTCCCTTAAATTATTGCAGTATCTTGCAAACTCAAAAAAAATCGTTTTTATAGGGAAACAACCTATTTTTAACTTTGAGCATCAGGACGACACGGTAGAGAAAAAAACGTGTTTTTTCAAGTCCACAACTTTTATTATTAATACTTTGTCGCAAAATTAGTTGAGTTGACGCGCTGTGGCTTTATGTATGTTAAACGCAGTTAATCAGAGCTTGAAAGAATTTCCTGAGCGTCATTGTCACTACGTGGATGCAGAAAATAAGAGCTTCACGAGTGAAATTGGTTGACTCACGTTGTACTGTCTTGTCTTCCGGGATTTTATATTCATGTGCAACCCTATGGGTCTTGTGATTAATTTGAGATTTCCTTGAATATTATTCGATTAGTACATTTGAAAGTTTTGGCTATGGTTAACACAATTTATTTCCTCTTTGGGACTGCAAGCAGTTGTTTCATTACTGAATTTAGTTATTTTTCAGTTACAAATTAAAAACGAAATAGTAACCATTGAATTAATATGATTTTGACTATTCTGTGGTGTTCTATCTCTACAGTTAACCACTTGGAATAATTATTTTCCGAGCCCAGTTTATTATTTGTGCAAATATAATTTTGGAATTTCGACCTTCCGTATATGAGTCATTGATAAAGAATCGTGCTCTGCAATTTTCTTCAATCGAAAAATTTTTTTACGCTCCCAATCGTCTCTTCAACCATTACAAACGCTTATCAAAACTATGAAAGTGGTAGAAACGAGCGTGAAAGCAAGATCAATCTAAATTTTCAGCGGAACAATAATCGTTTTTGCGCTACAGTGGTAAGAACCGTAGCAGCTAACTAGATTCTCGGCGCTTTGCTTTCTCACGCACGTACACTTTTGCAAGTAAATATACAAAGTATCTATATATATCACGTGCGCATGTTTTGCCGATTCAAAGTTATCACTATGACGGGGCTAAACTTCTCCGTTGCTGGCTGTCGTGACTTTTCTAGAAAGTCAATGAGTCTGACATTGAGGAAATTCGCTGGCACCCGAATATACATGGATTGAGTGACAGCTAGCCAAATAAAATTTCCCATCCCATAATAATTAGGTTTTTAAACGTACTTTTTTTTTACTTGATGCGCACGCATGTATTATTATTAAGTGGAGCGTGAGATTATTGCCACCAACTGCAACATATTACATCCTATTGTCATTATCCTCACTAGCGTTGTTGTTATTTAGGATTTTATGTAAGGCTTCCACTGCGATGAAAACAATTCATTAGAAATGATGAATTAAAAAGACTTTGCAAACCAGTGTGATGATAAATAAATGGATAAACGATGATAATTTCGCTTACACGTAGTATTCTCATGAATACGGAGATACAACTGGCTTGTGCAAGTGCTTTTGATATAAATATATCTTTTAAAATCCTTCAAAGCTCTGTTAAAAAAGTCTCACTATACAATACAGTTGACGTAGTAATAATAGATTGTACACACGTAAGTGGTGCTTATTATTTGATAAAGATCGCTATATCGTGCTTGTATTTTACCTAGACTATGTATTATGTGTGTTTGAATATTTTATAAAATGGTGGGATCACTTTCCTGAATGATTACAAAACTAAATGTATAAATTATTTAAAATTTACAGAAAACGTGTACTTATGTATAACCAACCTACAAAAAAATTGTAAAGCAAAAATATAATAATTAANCGTCCATTTCAGCAGTACGGCACGCGCGAAAGAAATTATAATTTGTACCAGCACATCTTCATTGCTATTGCAATGTATTGTCAAGGGTGTTAAGAATAAGATAGTAATGAAAGCTCAGTATTTTTCACTCTTTTTGCAATAAAAAAAATAGAAAAATAACGATGTAGACGGAAAAATCTAAAGCGTGCCATGAACACAACAAGTGTCACGTCTTAATTGTTCGTGCCCACATATGTCCGGCGTTTCTACTGACAACTACCCACTTATATCGCTAAAATAAGACTGACTCGCTTTCTCCGTTTGCACAGAAGAACGGCAAGAATAAAAAGAGCGCGAGAAAGGAAGACGACAAAGAAGCCCACACAATGTCAAGACTGTCACAGCCATGGCTAGCAGCAACAGTGCATCGTATGTACGTATATACGGATGCAACTGACCACTGCTTGTAACGTAGGTAATTGCATCTGGGAGTGAAAGTCGGCCTGTATAGTTACTGCTGACGGTATACCCGCAACCAGATCCCTCCCAGCTGTACTTGAAGGATCTTTTCTCACGCCTGCGAAGAGAGGCTGGACCAGGGAGTTCATTTATCCGTATCTAGAGTTCAAACGCTATAGACGAGGGGACTTTTCGATGAGATAAACAGATGTACGTCAAAGAAGACGGGAAAACAATTTTTTGGGTTTCACTATGTATTTTTGTAAGAGTAGGGTAACAATATTTTTGAAATTAAAAAAAAGTATGAGCAAAGCGTTGCATTTTTAAATTACATTTATGCTTAGCTGCTGACAGATGTAGGTGTTCTGTATTATAAAGATATAGACAAGATTTGTCTTCCTTCATTGTTTGTAACATTACCATGAATTAATTTTTTCGAGAGAGATATAAAGGAATACTCTCAATTTAATTTAAGGCTTACACAATGTATTTTTTTCTTATTAGATAATAGATCGTAGAGTTACGAAAATGTCATTTTTTTTTTCAAATCAATTATTTAGAAAACAAATAAAATACCTTCGAGTTGTAACTGAGGAAACAAAAAATTATACTCAATTTTAGTCGGATTTTTATTTTAATACATCGCATAGAAAATAATTATTACTCACGTGATGGTTTTAAAACTAAAAATTTGACATTTATAAAAAATAGTGACTAGCTCAAAATATAAATGGTTGAAATTAAAAAGTAAAAGTATTTCATTATTCTTGAATGTACATATTTTACAAAAGCGAAAAAAAATTCATATTTCAACTATCAATAAATTTAATAATAATTTTTTTTTTTTTAATTACAAATTCACTACAAAAACCTTAATTATTGTAATTTTGGAAAATTTGTATGTTTCAGCCGCAATGAGAATTTTAAAATGAAAAATTCAAGCTCTGCGTCATTACAATCAGTAACCAGGATTAAAACCTAATGACCGACTATATACATCATGAATGGACATCATATAAGGTAAGTAGTTTATTCAAAGTCTTGTAATATCAAGTATACTCTAAAAATTGTACTTAGAAACCATACGAAAGCTTCTTTTAAAAAAAAAAGAAGTCTGATAAATAGGACCTGCTATAAGAACATTAATTATGATCGTAAAAGAAGTACAGATTTATCAGGTAACAAGCAGAAAATAGGCTGTAACGCCAATAATCGGCGTCGAGTCTCCCTGAAATTTTTGTAACACCCCATTGACGTTCACACGGGCTATACCAATTGCTTTCAGCGCGTACAACCGCAACAACTGACATTAAAAATTTACAGCCGGCCAAGTACGATGTACTCTCTTCATGACAACCTACTTTCACTTTTCTTGGCTGAAGAAAAATCGGAAACTCCTATAAACAAGTAATAAACTAATGAAATCACAAAAAACGCGTCATGCTGTTTTGCCGATACGTATACATGTATAGAGAGTAACCAACTGCAGAGGCTTCATCCTTTCTTCTTCGCGTTTGTTATATGCACAAGAGAGCCTTATTCGTGGTCAGTGGCTCGATGGCAAGGCCGATGCCCGGAAACGGCTGGCGCGTTTCTAATGTATGTAATGCCGTGAGTCGATGATTACTGTTTCAGATAAGACACTGAATGAACCTGATTATCTCTCAATTATTATTATTTTTTTTAATCTTAACCCATTGCACGGAAAGCGAAGAGCCGTTACATTTGTGTTGGTCTCGTATGGGAGATGCGGAAATCGGATATCTGAAGAATACGTGCAATATATCGTTACGAGGATTCGAAAAAATAAGATGCTGTACCCGCATGTGTGCAGTTGTGCTAAATGATTGACTAGGCGGAAAATCAGAAAATTTTTAAACTTCGAAATCTAATAACTATTGGTAGAAACGTTACTACATAAACTAGCTAAAAACTCGTCAACATGTTATTAGTCCATTTACTCATGTACGTTAACGAGTTTCTAGCCAGCTTATGTAGTAAACTTACAGTTAAAATTAATTATTTAAAATATTATTAATTTTGCTCATGTTCTTTTAATTTGTCGTGAAATGGTACCTATTATTGTAGGCTTGGTTGTAGGTAGGGGGCTTTTATCGTTTTCTTACATTTTCATTGGAACCCTTATCGTCGTACACAATTAACTTGGAGGAAGTCAAAACTAAAAAAAAGTTGCAATATGTGTAACTCTTAAAAAGTAGTGCCCATTAATTTTACATAACAATGCTTATCATGAGTAAATGGTCAGTTACGTTTTTTATTTTACTCTAGCCAAATATCGATAGATCCGATGTATCGGCGAAACGAGAAACAGAAACGTGGCAGTAACGAGACGTCTGCTCCCATTCAATTATAATAATGGTACTCGACATAAAAACAAGTTTTGCGCATAATCTCTTGTTCCTTAGAATATCATGAATGTATTTCCTTATAAGTATCTCGTGGAGGCAAGGACTCGTAACGTCCACCG